CAGCTGTATAATTATCAAAGCTTGAATGTAGCAGCAGTATTCAAGCTTTTTATGAGATGCTAAATTTGCTTGGGAGACTGAATCTCACTTTACTTAAAAACAGAATTCACATTTTGTACAAACAAAAAGAAGAAGAGCTACATACCTTGAGACAGTGTTCATCCTTTCCAACGCGGAATGTTTTCCAGCTACCTTTCTCTGTCATCTTCTTCAGTAAAAGAATTATCTTGTCATTGAAAATGTCACAGATGATGTCAGGTGATATGCTGAAACTTGGTAGAAATTGGGCATAAAAAGAATAATTTCTGACTTCCTGATTGTTATTCTCTGGTTTGGTTTCCATGGTAACATGAAGACCAGACAGACCGCATACAAGTTGTTTTTTTACACTGTCTGCTTTCACACAGGGAACATGTAAAACAAATGTAATGGTCTCAGAGTCTTGACGGTAAGAATAATCTGGCATGAGATAGACTGGTGGTTCTAGCACTGTTGCCATGTTATTAGTTTCTGCTTCATGTTGAAACTCTTCTTTTTCTGACAGTTCATCTGAATCAATGCTCCCTGATTCAACCTGTTGTACACTTGTATCTATCGTCTCACTCTTTTTGTCTGTGTTCTTAGTTAACGCTGGGACTTGCTGTATGTTTTCATTTTTTTCTGTTTCGCGCTCAACAGCATCTGCTACCATAAGATCCATTTCTGTGTCATCTAATTTTGCTTCCTCCTTCACCACCACCTCCTCCTCCTTTTTCTCTGCAACCGTCTCCTGTGTGTTCTTTTCTTCATCATGCAACTCCTCAACAAGTTGTTTCTCATGCCCTTCTACAAACGATGGGAGATCTGGTATTTTTGGGGCCAACACTGGTATTGTCACTGTCAGACATCTCTTGCTTTTGTCGAATTTTGCACTACCCCGATTTTCATCAACGGGGTATGGTAGTTTAATGTCTAATTTATATGCAGCTGGTTTACTAGATTCCAAGCAAAGTTGCCTTTCATATATGTCCAAATTGAGAGTTTTTGCTGATTTCAGTAATGGTAACTGAACAGTTATAACCAATTCTTGCGGTCTGGTCGTTGGAGCAGCGTCAGGAGCATCTCTGAAGTTCTGAATGTCAAAATGACCTCTGTGAACAATAGTGTGTTTGGGAACTGTTGGTGCACTTGCATTGCTCTCGTTTGCACCTTTCCTATTACCTGAGATTGTGGTGTTACTCTTTGGTGGCATATCTTCACGACTGGGCTCGTTATAAGGGTATGGCACATCAAAACTTTTGAATCCATCTTCCACGCCTGTTGCTCCTTCTTTTCGAGGGGTGCGAATTACACTAGCCGTAGGTTTCCCTTTATACTGCATTTTTGGACACCTGAGGTTTGTTCTATCAAGTTTCACTTTGAAGTTGGTCTCAATTCCGTCCATGGCAGTGTCGTTGATCATAGTTCGAAACCGTTGATTTCTTTCTGCTATTTGTAGGGTATCTGGGTGAAACACACAGTCATACACCATGCATCTGTTGCCCGTTTTATCCAGATCCTCACGAGGTGGGGCGAGGCTGTATGGGATAGACCATTGCACTCCGCTCTTCATGCCACCGGGTTTGCTCTTATCAGTTCCTGGACTAGAGGATGGTTTCCCGACAAGATCACTGGTGCAGATATTAATGAAAGCTTTTTTTTCGCCGTCGATGCTAGTTTTCATAACGTAACCAGGTGTGGGGTGAATGAACTGGACGTCCATTCCGCGGTCGCGCTCCATTTGTGCAAGTTCTTCCTCATATTTCTGTCGATTTACCGGATCGGATATTTCCTCGGCATACTCACGGAACAGCTTACGAAATTCTTCGTCTTTAAACGCCTTGGAGAAACTTCCAATCTCCTCTTGTGAAAGATTGAGATCTTTTAGTTTACTGAAGTCCGTCGCCATTTTGGAATTTGTTTGGCACTGTGTTGTCGTCCCTAAGTGCATAACAACAAACTAATATGAAGTGCGCCCTCGCTTTACCTCAACCGGCATGTCGTATTTTACTGTTATGTAGTAAATTTCACACGTTTAAGTTATAGTTTAAGTTTCAATGTTATACGTAATTAAACCCGAAGTCACTAAAACAATGAAACAAACCGCTGGAACTATTTGCCACCAACATAAAAAGTAATGAAACTTCAACTGTCATAGGGGGTCTCATTTTTAAAAATACTGTCGTCAATGAACTTTAAAATCTTGTCCCAACAGGATTCTTGACAGGTTCAGGGGCGAAGTTGTTGGAAAAAAAAGAGTTTGGTTTCAGGTTACGTATATCAGTTTTTGTGAGTTTTCTTGTTAGTTGTTACGAATGTGAAAGAAACCAAACAGTTATCCCAGTTCAATTGATTAAATTTAAATACGTGCTGGTATTGGCCCTGAAGAGGGCGTCCTATATTTAGGCCGCACATTTTGAACAATCGGTTTAACAACCTGACATGTTATGTACCCCGATACAAATAGTTTTACAAAATATGTTTTTTTTTTCTGAATATCATTTATCCTTATATAATTGCTTAGTGCCTGTTTGAATTCTAACACAAAAGTGTACCAACCTTGCTAGTGGACGAAGTTTTGATTAGGTGAGTGAGTAGGTAGGCAAGTTAGGCGAGTAGTCATGGTAACCGAGTCACGTGTTGTTATGACACTGGAGAATAACAAGATATACTAGTACTCGTCGAAAGCAGTTAATATATGAATGTGCTACCGACAGTACCCCGAGATTCCTACCCTGTTCCCAGACAGCCAAATGCAAGAATAATATCCATTTCAGACATTTTTTTGCGAAAAAATATATACCCTTTTTCAGACTGTGTTTTCTTTTTTACACGGATTATGTAGTATATTAAACGTTTTCCCGACAGAATTAACTATTTTTATGGTTTGAACAACGCTATTTCAAAGGGGGTCATTCAGCGCATTGTGGGTTGAGTGCTGAAGATAGGAAGATAAGCATGGCAAGCAGAGCGTCTACGTAGCATGACAGGAGAAAGCAAATATAACTACAGTGAAATACTTAATGTTAGATGGAGTTAATTTTCGCTGAAAAAAACTGTTTAAGGTGTTTTGTATGGAGTTTAATTTCACCGATTTTTGATGAAGTTGAATGTAAAACATGGGTAAAAGGTATATTTGCTGGATTTTATTTTCACTGAATCATTTCTTCAGGGAAAATAGCAAAAATAAATTACAAGCGAACATTATTATATATATAATGTAGTATGGCTTTATTAAAACTAGGAGTTGTACAGTTGTGTTTTTTAATAAAAGCTGTTTTATATGTATGCAAGTTTGTAGAAAAAAAGATTGATCAGTTCACTTGTTTACATCTTGAATTTTCAAGGTGAATGTTCCGGCAAAGCACTCCGGACGATGCTTGTTTATAGTAGGAACATTTTCTCAGAAATGTCACGGCGTCGTTCAAAACTCTTGGCAGTCATTTCGTTTAAACTTGGGCACAAACTAGGGACAGCGAGTCTTGTTTTCAAACTTAAATCTTTTGAAAGTTTTACCTATATTTTCAGAAAATAATCACTGCTTTCGGTCATATCAAAGACATTATGGTAATTGATCATACTAACTATTTGTATTGAGGGCGGTGTCATAGACAACATTCTGGCTACCCCTACATTTATTTCCATAATTGTAACTCATCTGTGGTAAAATAGGATTCAGAATTGTCATTATTAAAATCATTATTATGTCGTGTATTTGTTTACAGTTACTCTTTACTTTACTCGGCTCGCTGAATCGGCGAATCTGTAATTCTGAGATTATTGGCTCTCAAGCACGCCACCAACGGTAGTCATCAGTCGAGGCTTGGGAAGTAATCCTATGCAAGGCTAATAATATAACCACACCTTTTAAAATTGACACTAAGTTACATGTATAAGAAAGTCAAAGGTGTACATCATTGTACACATCAACTACTGCTACTACTACTACTAAATACAGCGTTCTCGTGCCAAATCTCCACTGGAAAAGGGTCACTCAATAAATGACGACGAATCCACAGTGCGCTCGACGCAGTCTTGAATACGCGCTCACAAATAATTATTTTTTTTCTTTTAGGATTTCCCTCTAATTTTCAAACATGCGTACATTATGGATGTGAATAAAAACATGTTTCAAGTTATTCAAGTTCCAAGGAACATAATTTAATCACGTTTTTATGTAGGTGTTCGCCGTAGAGGGCGTAAAATAACACGCTCACTCCACCTGGTTTTCATTGATTTAGCTTATCACTAAAATCACAATGAACATATCAAAAATGAGTAGATATAAATAGAAAAAAAATCGTGTAAATTCAGACCAGCTTCAAATAAATGCTGATTTTTGCATTTCTGTATTTTTTTTGCACCATTGAGGTATAAAAAAGCCCCGGTCCGGGACCGGTCAGTGTTGCGGGTGGTCGATATACCGACAGAGAGGGCCGGAAACATCTACGAGATGCAGCGACGAGATATCAAGTATGACGTTGTGAGAGTCTCACGAACGCGTAGTCTGAGTTGGTTCGTCACTACCAGGGTTTGTATTCAAGAATGAATGAATGCATGTTCCGGGATGTTTTTGTGAAGTCACCGATGGTACCAA